TAAGCGCACGTTCAGGAGGGGCCGTATACTCGTCCCAACGTGTACACCCTATGGACGTAGGGACCGCGCGCACTGCTTGCCCGTGCTTTGACCGGCAATTCCCCTCCTTTGCGGCGTGGGGCGCCCCTCACCCCCTCGCAAGGTTGTAGCCGTGGCTGACTGGTATCCATCCGCGCCTCCCGGGCAGGGCGAGAAGTTCGACCCCCGGTCGCGGCGAAAATCTTTGCTTTTTTCGAAAAAAAACGTCCCTGAACGTGCCCTTTAAATGAGCGATTCGGAAAATTACCATTTTTTATTTTGCCCGATGATAGCAGGATGCAAATTTTTTGAAATCCTGATTTTCGAGAAAACCATTCTCGAAAATATACTTTCGAAAAATAATTTTCCGCAAAAGTTAATAGAGATCAACCGAAGTTTTAACGTAAAAGTTTTCGCAGAGCATAGGATAACAAATAAAACCTAAAGCTTGCCGATATAAAACTAATGCGCCTCCGCCTTAGGGCGGCGCCGAAAAGAAATACGACTTTTCCACGACATTTTGTTGCTTATTATTTTGCATGATATAAGCTTGAAAAACAGACGTAAGCAGGTAGAATCGAGGGCGGGCTACAGTCAAGCAACCATCTTTTTTGCAGGCTCAACCATTTTCGAGGTATATTTCATGGAAATCAGACAAGATACGCTCGAAATCGAGTGTTTTTGAATTGGTTTTTGAATGTTTTTGAGTTTATTTTTCATGATTTTTCCTCGCTCATTTTTCTCCCAGCGATCGGTTGAGCTCCTCAAGCCCATCAAAACGTATCGTGAAGGTTTGGTAAAAAATTACCCGCGGGAGTAACGACTTGCGAAATTTACGTATCTTTTATGTACTCAAGTCAGCCTTTTCTAACGTCCCATCTGCGATCGGCAAGCTCTCCTGAAGAAAACAGCTGACCCGACTGGCGCCAAAAGACAGAGCTGGTACGGAATCTATAACCCATCTTGCACCTGCCAGGCCCTCGGTATAGGTCCCAAAACCACCTAAAAAATTGATTCCCCATGATCATTGTAAAATCAAATTGACGGAGCGTGTCTACGAAGAGCCGGTCGTATATGTGTCATGTATGACCGGCTCTGCGATCACGGGCATTGTTATCAACGGTTTCACCCTGTTCGTAATCTACGCAGCGTCACCGGTTAGGATGAAAAAGTACAAATGGCTATTGTTTACTTATCAGGTATGTTCGAGTAACTGCTGCTCAAACGCGTTCTTGACGTTTTTGAAATCCGCGGTTGCCCCATCAGAACCGGTGGATGCTCAGTTTCTCGTTTCTAGTTCCTGTCGATTTGCTTCGAACTGTACATTCATGCCATTTTGCCCGAGGTTTTCCTACCAACTATCTCGATGCGCTTTCGCGGCGCCTTGTTTCGCAACGTTGACCCGCGATCGGTGTTTGTAGGTTTTTCGAAACGTCTGTGTTTTTTATGTCATACCAACCTCCAACTTCCCAATCCATTACCGAAATTTTAGGCTTACGGCATTTGGGGGATGATGGCAATGCTTACTGCAACAATCGCCTGCATACTGTACCGTCAGCAGCATCTGTTGCCAGCCTATCATCGATTCAGGTCGGAAAAATGCATATGTCGCCAAAGCAATGTTTTAGATTGCGGCTCGGCAGCTCCCTGGCGTTTCTCCTTATACCGCCTTGCTGCTTTTGCATAATTCTGGACTTGGAGCTTCCCGAGTTAAAGACATCACAGGGTAACAACGAAAGCCCGTTGCTGCTCAAGGTCTTGCAGGTATGGATCGACTTTCAGGTGTTACACGGATCCTGAGTTCTTGAGTGCTAACTCAGATCCGTAACACCTGAAAGGTTCACGTAAAATAAGAGAAAACAAGATTTCTTACAATACGCTAGAGCCTAAAAACCAGTAGCGAGAACGAGCAGTAAAAGTGGTAGAATGGAAAATGGCACGCACCAAAAGGGCCTCTGGCGGGCGCCGAGAACGCACAGAGAGCGGTGTCCATAGTAGTGCGGCGGGAAAGCTATCGCGGAAACGAGTAAATATATTTCAATTTTGCCCCCTGCCAGTATCCCTTTTGTCTAATGGGTCTATCATTTTGCATTCACATTTTGCAGGACGTGCCCAACTACGGCTTTCTGCGAACCGTACCCGACCTTTGGGTCGTCGACGGCAGCGACCCCTTCTCGCTGTGGCCCGTCAGCGCCCAACTCACCGCCGCCTTGTCAATACTGTTCATGGCTCTCTATTACGTAATAATCGTAAGCCATCTACGTACGCTTCAGCACAACCATTGCTTTTTAGGGGGTCGGCTTGGTCGCGCATAGCTACTACCTACTTAACGGGAACAATATGAGCGAGAAGACCCGACGGATGCAACGGCAGATGATCAACTTGTTGACGTGGCAGGCGCGTTTAATTTTATTGTGCAAAACTCGCCATAGATAGCCATTCCGCTTTTTACGCTGGCGACGCCATGGGCCATCGGCACGACGGTCATCTGGGTACAGTTCGAAATTCCAGCAGGTATCCGGACTCCACGAACGTTAGAAACTATCCATTGCCAGCCGCCTGGAATGCCATCTTTTTCCTCGATGGTTGCCACGCGCTTGTGGCGTCCGTCGAGATTCTGGGGCTCACGCCGTGCTACCGCCAGTACATCTTCAGCCCCTTTCGAAAATTGGGCAGAAGGTACGTTTTTGGTGTCTTCTCAATCTAGACCGATACAGCCATTTTAGCTGTTACCTCTTTACTGGTTATGACTGACGTTTAGGATTTTGACCATCGCTGTACAGCAGACACCTACGAACGAAAAGTCGCTGGCGTCAACGATTCGACCGTCATTTCGTTTGGCTGACATCATGATAGCTCAAATCTAATTAATCACTTTATGCAAAGTCTACTGAAGGTTATAGGATTAAGTCTAGACGATGCTATCAAAACTGCCAGAAAGGCGGAGTTGAGGGTCGATGGCGAAAATTTTTGCCACGATAACTTGTGCTGATCCGCCTGTTTTTGTTAGCCTAACCCCTACTAAGGATTTTTTGGGTAAATCATTTTATAGAAATCGAAATCACAATGCTATCTTCGCCTCGCTCATTAATCTCCGGAATTTCCCAAATTGAAATTCCAGCGCATCGAAATTTCGATTAAATGTTATTTGCTACCCCCCGGGCCGACCTCGCACTGGCGATCAATCCCTGCATAGAACAAAGGTTTTCAAAATTCCTGTTATTTTGTAGAACATGCAAACGCAAGTAAAACACGTTGAAAAGAAACAAAAAAAGCAAAACGTTCCTGCTGTTTGGCTCAATTCTACATAAAGGATTCTGATGTCTGTGTGAATAAATAGCTCACTTCGTATGCACCACGTGGACCGGGAATTCGCCTGCGCCACATGGCACTGCATCAAATGATGTCGATTTTCAATGGATCCATGAGTTCGAAGAAGCGCCTGAAGAAAACGACCCAACCCTCAAATGCACCTGTCCGACGCTTACTGACAGCTCCGTTCACTCGGGTCAAGCGTGGCAAAAATCTCGAAATGCTGCCTACCTACGAGGATCCATACTTCTATGTAACTTGCATGAATGTCATCGCAATTGCTGGCTTCGCTGTAAACATTTTTACCCTGTTCATCATCTACGTCGCGTCACCGACGACCATGCAAAAGTACAAATGGCTGTTGTTCTTTTATCAGGTAGTGGAGCTCGATTTCGGCATAAACAACCAACTTTCAAACGCACCGTTGATTGGACTTTCCAGATGTTTTCCACCGGGTTTGACCTTTTGGTGCACGCCGTGCTGCCTGAGTTGTTCCTGCCGCCACTGGCGTTCCGGTGGCATGGCGCGTTGTTTCGGAATGTGGACCCACGGCACATAGTGGTATAATAAGCCAGTCGATGATAGCGGTATTTTTAGGTATATGGGATATTCTTGATGATGGCCCTAATCTGTTCTACAGCGTATTGTCTGGTATACCGACATCGCCAACTGTTAAGTCGTGATCACCCTTTGAGGTTGTTGTCTCATATCTCGTGTCTTTGGCTTCTGTGGGGGGGGGACGCCGCCCATGTATATGGTGTCCCAATAAACCCCCCTAACTCGACGAAGAGGTCTCGGATCGAAACGACATTTCTACCATTCCAAGCTCTTACCACGGCGAATTATGGAAAGCTTCAAAACCACCATTTTTCTGCGCGCCATTTTAGAACGCATTTAAAAAGATTAAGAAACGGCTCCTGCATCTAAGTAACGGTTACTTCCGGTCATTTGGTTTTGAGAAATTCAGGAAAATTAGCTCGGATGAAACAGACTGGTAAAACAGCGCATTTCAATAAAACATATTTTGAAGGTTGTTGCAATTCGCCGTTTCAAGGGCTTCCGGATGCGGTAACTATTTCCGGTCCGATACATCTGCGTCGAGTTAGAAGATTGTGAGAAGACTAGAAGAAAGTCGGAGGTCTCTTCGCATATACCATAAGCCTAGGCCTGGTTAGCCAAAATGATAACGACAGCCCGATTATGCAACGTATTTTAAAGGTCGGCGATCGGCCTACGGCTAACAATAGTGTTTTAGGCTTTCCCCGAATACACCTATTTACTGAATGTGCCCGACTTGTGGGTGGGGGACGGAAACCATGATTTTCCGCTTTTACCCTTCATCAGCGTGCAGGCAATGGTCTGCATCATCATCTTGACGATTGTCGCCGAGTTTTTGGCTCTGGTAAGTGCATATAGTTGCGATACACTGCTGTGGTTCCTGCGAGTGGTCAGCTCGTAAAGTTTTCAGGCCACTACGTAGCGTGTGTAACTGGATTAGTGTTTCAGACCGCTTATTTAGGCGTCGCTCTTTGTTTTCCACAGTTCTTCTGGATGGCCGTGTGAACATCAGCGAAAAAACCAGAAGGCTGCAAAAGCAGCTGCTTAACGTCCTACTGTGGCAGGTAAGTGTCGACAAAGCTCGAATTTTAGAGGCAAAAGTACTTTTAGATCTTTGTGCCATTTGCGACTCTGGCCGGTCCCTGGGGTTATGGCGCTGTGGTCGTGTATTGGCAACTGACAGCATCACCTAGTAAGAATTATCTGCCGTTCGGATTCAGAATTTATGGAAAATCAAATCAAATCAACTTTTAGCCACGAGTCACTGCATATTCTACATCGATGGCCTTCATGGCATGCTCTCTTCGCTAGAAATCATACTTCTGACTCGGCCGTACCGTCAGTACATCTATCGTGTGTTAACCTGTGCTAGATTTAGGTTAGTAAAAGTCGTTCCACCAGTTTTCGAATTCCGCTTTTTTCCACCATTCAGGCAATACGAAGTGCTTTTCAGAAAACCGTCTCAAACGTAATTAGCTTCGAGGCGCACACTCATCGAATTCGTTTTCACGGAAAACCGTCAACAGCATTTTATGACTAGGATAAATTTAAAGATCCTTGGTGTACACAGCAAGAGGGATATTACCAGTATACCGCTTTTCAGAATGCCGCTTTTCAGTTAAGCCGGGAAAAAAATGATTTTTTGTATCGGCCTCAGACTAAGGACTAAAAGAAGTACTAAAACTAATTCGAATTCAAAAATACTAATTGAAAAAGGCTATTTTTAGTGCAATGCAACCTGTTTGGAGCTTCCCGCAATCCGAAATTTTTCCTGGTCACGTTCCTGCTCACATCTCAAAAAACTCTGGGTAGACCGAACCATAAATCTGAAAAAGTTTCAAGTCCACCTGGTTCCAAAAGCGCAATAATCGGAATGCAGCTGCCGCCGATTGGTGGCCCATTGACTGCCCTGGGAGCAGTCCGCCAAATGTTGTCCCAATATGAGGAGCCGTACGCCTACGTGACCTTGTTGAATGTAATCGGTGCTGTCGGTTTCTGCATCAACGCTTTCACCCTGTTCGTCATCTACAGGGCTTCGCCTACTTCCATGCAGAACTACAAATGGCTGCTGTTTGCGTACCAGGTAGGATCCGTCGCTGCGTGCGTAGCGCATCCTTCGATCTTGAGCGTCCTCGAAACGCAGAATTTCTAGATATGCTCGACCGGCTTCGAATGTTTTCTCCACGCTTTACCACCGGAGATTTTCGTGCCGCCGTTGGCGGTGCGCTTCCATGGCGTGCTCTTCCGTAACGTCGACCCTCGCAAAGATTTCGTAGGCCAATCTTGCCATCCGCCGATCGAGGACACATTTTAGCAGTTTGGTGTCTTTCTTATAATGGCCGTGTTTTGTGCATCGCTCTACTGCGTTATGTATCGGCATCGCCAATTGCTGGGCCCGGACCACTGGCTAAGGTGTGACCAGGGCCGTTTCTTTCAAAGTGTCGAAATTTCAGTCGAAATTTCGTAGAGTCAAAATTCAAGATGTCGAAATTTACATAAGCTAATTTCCCCGCAAAAATCCCGAAAACTATGCAAAAAAATCTGGACATTCTGGAATTTCGCCATAATGAAATTCGACATTCTGAAATTTTGGCATTATGAAATTTCGGCATAATGACTTTGGACAGTGTGAATTTCGATTTAGTAAATTCAAAAGTTTGCTTCGATCCACATTCAAATTCACAGACAGCATGTGAGGCCACCCATATGAGCTGATCCCCGCAATCAGTGTCGAGACGATGGTCTGCATCATCGTAATCGCGATTTCGCTGGAAGTTTGTGTGCTTGTGAGTCGGGCATGGCACCTTCAGGCCAATTTTACTACATTACCCATTACTTTTGTTAGCACTTTTGCTGTGGCGACTCCGAGCACCGTACGCGAATAATAGGCACCATAATTTGGCAGTAGACGCTCAGCGAAGGCGCGCGTTCACTGCGAGGCCGACTCGTCCCAACGTGTACACCCTATGGACGTATGGACCGCGCGCACTGCCTGCTCGTGCCGCGGGAGGAAATCCCCCCGCCAGGTTGTAGCTGTGGCTGACTGGTATGCATCGGCGCCTCCCGAGCGGGGGGCCCGGGTTCGACCCCCGGCCGCGGCAAAAATCTTTGCCTTTTTCCAAAAAAACGTCCCTGAATGTGCCCTTTAAGGCGTTGTTTTACGTGGTGCACAGCTACTACTTGCTTGATGGACGCGTAAATATGAGCGAGAAAACGAGACGCCTGCAGAAGCAGCTTCTTAATGCAATGGTTTGGCAGGTGGGTGGACCATGTCGAAATTACACAATGTCGAAATGCCATAAGGTCGAAATTTACATTAGCTAATTTTTGCGAAAAAAGCGAACTCCTATGCAAAACATTTTCGACATATGAATCTCGACATTGTGAAATTTCGACATCATACCGCCATCCGAATTTGTAGGTGTTCGTCCCATTTGCAACCATTGCCGGCCCCTGGGGCCTGGGTGCCGTTATTGTCGTGAAGCGCATACATACCAATCCGCGTAACGCTTTCGATCCGGGACTAATCTCTTTTAGTAGTGCTACAACTTTTTGTTTACATTGACGGCGTCCATGGGACGCTTTCATCTCATGGCACGTTGTGCGTGCTTCAGCCAGGTTCGTTCCAGCTTCGCTATTCCGCAACTACTAGTTTCAGCAAAGTGACAACGCCGTCGATCCACATAAGTTTTGACGCCCACCTTCGCGTCCGGGCCCTTGGCTAAAGGTCTATTTGTTTGACGGTGCAAAATAAAAAACATCCAGAAAACAATTTAGTACTAGCACAGCTATTTGGGCCGCGTGATAAAATTGATGAATTTTATGTCTGTCTGTTTGATTTGTAAATTCTAAATCTATTTTTCTCCATATCTCTAGATGCTACATAGCTTCTGTCTGATGACGCGTCTCACAAATGTGGTCGCTTCAATCCAAATCTGGGGTTTTCCAAGACTAGCGTTCACGTTTGGACCGAACCTGGGAATGCTAGTTACACCATTTGAAAGCCCTTGAAAGGGCAGGTGTGCAACTATTTTGATAACTATATATTTTTATTTAAACCCACCACGTTACAAGGCATTTAAAACATTAAGGAAGGCCCTTGGCAACTAATTAACGGCTACCTTCGGCCATTTTGCATGGAGAAGTTGAGACAAATTAGCTTGTAGATGCAACCCCGCAAAACCAAAAAAAAATTACAAAATGGCTTGTAAAATGGCCGATTTAAGTAAAAACATGGTTTTGAAGTTTTTTTTTGCAAGAGCAGGGGCTTGCTTTGAGGAGCTTTCGAATGGTGTAACTGCCATTCGCATCGGACCCTACTTTGTTGATTTAGAGGGAGTGTTTTTTCATTGCCACATCCTTTAAGTGTCTTCTAGTTTTTTTCCACCTTACTCTGCAGACAAATCGGGTTCGATCGTTACTGTTTATTCCGCTGGCTTTACTGTCCGATGCTAGCGCATGCCGCTTTAATGTCCTCATGCGTGCATCCGGCGCAACATTTTTCTATGATACCGGTGGGCGCCACCAAGCGAGCGCCACAAATCTAAAATACGGCTTAACAAGTATTGGTAGGTACCGCACCTCGTTGATCAATGCTTGCAGCTTTGCGCCGCACAACTTTACTTTTTGGCCTTCAACGGCACCAAAGCAGAGGACGACGAGCACGGCGAGGAAGACAAGTTTCATCGTTTTCTGAAAGGAACCAATTGTCTACAATGAATCGTCGCTTGGGTGGGGCCACAGCCCTTCTAAAAGATTACTTCTAAACTCATTACGCCTAAAAATCATTAAATCTCTAAAAAATCATTTCTAAAAGTAATTAATTCTAAAAAAGTTACTTCTAAAAGTTGGTACGCTGGAGTATCAGTTTTACGGCAAATTTGGGAATATTTATTCGCAAATCGAGGTTAACTAGAATTTTAGAAGTAATGACTTTGAAAAGTACTGGTTTTCGAAGTAATGATTTGAGAAGTAATAAGTTTTATGAGTAATGGATTTTAGAAATAATGATTTTAGAAGGAACGAATAATAGAAGGAAATTAATTGCAATAAGAACCGAAGGTTTTACGTTTTCTACATTTTACATTTTGACACATTCTCGACAATTTGCTAGTGATATGGTTTTTCTTAAAACCCAGCCAAAAACCCGTGTAAGAAAAGCTATCAAGAAAAAAACAGGAATACCAGAAAACTCGGAAGCTGCTGATGTCAACCCAGCGCGCCCGGGCTTTTTATGGATTTGCCGATCAAAGAAATACGCCTCTGCCAAGACATTCTGCAACGGGTATTTGCATAATGTAAGCTTGAAAAACAGGCGTAAGTGAGCTAGAATGTAGGCCCGGCTACAGCGAAGCCGCCATTGTTTTCGCCGCTCAAACATTAATGCCATGTTTTCGAAGCATATTTAATGTAAAGTAGGGCGGTTATGGCGTTTCTTGTTCGATGATCACCTTGTTGTAAAAGATATAAAGACTTGGAATGGGAAAGGAGAGAGTATCTACAACGATGCGCGCTTTTCTACTGCTACTCTTTACGCTTACGGTTTATACCGCGGCTCAAATGCAGGGGATGAACAAGAAATGTCGCGAGAAGGTGCAGGTCCGCATCCATGAGGTAACTTTTCATACCTTCGAAAAAAGAGTTCTATTTTGGCAAGTTTATTGTGTCAAAAATTATTTTGGTATCTGGCAATTTAAGATTTGTCCGGCGCGCCTGGTACCGATCGAATTGCTTACTGATGGCGACATTTGGCTGAGCAAGTGCTGCGGAGCTTCAGAGCGCCCGGTTGGTTCAGATCAAAGCCCTATTGCGGCTTAAAGTGATACTACATCGGGGGGTACTTTAAAAGTTTATATTGTGGATCGTTACTATCGTCTGCCATTTTCAGGACAATGCGCCGATTCTGTGCGACGATGCCTATCTCAAGAAGACCTTTTGCCCGTAGCCTGAAATCTTCTGCGAAAATAATCGAAAAACGAAGCTAACTAACTTTCATATTACAATAAAAATTTTGTACTTATTCACTGGGTGGGTGAATGGTCTGCAGGCCGTCTCCAAGCAAAATTTGCAACAGAGCAAGACTCCTATTTACGTGAAATCCGCGCAAAAGCTTTGTTATTGGAGCTGGTTTGTTAGCGGGGGGGTTAATGTCGTAGTTTTTCAATATTTGATGATTTTTTGGGGACTAAATCATCGGGACCCGGTCGTGCATCGAAAAAATACACTAAGCACTTTGATTCTAGATCAAAACACAATAATTTGAAGACCCCCCCCCGGCTTACGAACCAGAACCTATTGTTTCTCGCGCTTGTGATTATACGGTTTCTACGTGTCGGAACCGACAATTCAATTCAAATACGGTTTTATGTTTATTGCCATAATCTTCACTTTCCCATCTCTGGGCACAGCGACGAGATGACGTGCTCCCTGTCGCATCCCTCACCGCAGCATAGCCGGACCACGGCACCTTTGTCCTGCTGGCCGGTGCGGCCGCAGAGCTTGAAAAATTCGAGTTGATATCCCATGATACAAGCTATACCTCCTTGATCCAGGCAGTCAGCTTGTTACCGCAAATTTTTTGCGTCGCCTCAACAGTTCCAAAACAGAGCACGACGAGCAGGAAGAGCGCCGCCAACTTCATTTTGGTTGATTTTAAACTACGAAAAAATCTGAACCACCGCTATAGCTGTCGCTATCGCGTTGAAAGACCGTTATCGAGAGATCAAAATGAGAAGAAAGAGAATAATGAATTTTGGCAAGCGATCTATGATTAATGTTCGCTAAAATAACGCTCGGAAAGCGCGGCATATCCGGATGCAGCAGCCAGCGAATCCTTCATGATCCTTTTTTGCGCTGCTTTATACGACAACCAAGAAAAAAAATGCCGCTTGCAAGACGTCTTTGACTGCATATTTGCATTAAGTAGAATTTGAAAAGGCTCCTCCAGATCAATACGGTTCTCCGAAACATTTTTTTATGTAAGCCGAGATCTTCCGTTTTTGCAACCACCCCAAGCATGGGAAGAAGCATGAAAATAACACGCGGAGGCCAAAAAATCTTACGTAATACAGATTGTGTGTTTATTTGTTAAACCAGCGGGGAAGGAGCCGCTTCGCGACTCACCCCCGCTGGACCGCTTCTAGGCCGTATGAATCGAGTGCCCTTCTCCACATAAAGTTACCCTGAAGCAAAAAAAAACACGAAATTCTCATGCAAACCTCTTTGTATTGGCATGCGGTGCAGGCTTGAACTGCTAGTCTCTTTATTGCACCTGCGGCGCATGTTTGATCGACAGGTCGCCGCTACCTCAACCTGCGGCCCAAGCTGGAGAGATTAGCTTCCTTCTTTGTCCTGCGGAGCCAGTTTGAGCGGTTTGCTTCGAGATAAAGCCTGCTGCGCAAGCTTGGCGGACCTGAGCTTGAGCCTTAAGCCTGTGGCGCCAGCTTCAATGGCTTGATTGTCTGATTCCTTAGCCTGCGGCACTAGCTTGTGCGGCTAGCTTCGTTCGAAAGCCTGCGGCGATAGCTTGTGCGGCTAGCTTCGTTCTAAAGTCTGCGACGCTAGCTTGTGCGGCTAGCTTCAGGTTGCCGGTACGGTTGCTGTTAGGCAATTTACCATGGTTTATCCAAAAAAGCAAGGCAAAGTAAAAACGAAAGTGTGATATACGGAAACAATTACAAATTAATGATGATATTCCCTAGAAACACTCGACGTCGCGAGGGCGCGTGGCGAAAGTGAATATCGTCTGAATTTTCCTTTTTCTTGGACGGTGATCACGACGCCTTGCGACATGCCGATGTTGCGTTTTTCGAAGAAACCTAAAAGTAAATAAAAGTGTTGAAATCTACAGAAAAATAGGGTTTTTACTGCAAAAAAACTTACAAGGTAAAACAAAGGCAAGGCAATCCCAGCACACTTGCTTCACAAACGTATTGTAATGCTTGTAGAGGGTCAAGATAGCCACTGAGGCGCAAAAGCCATGATTGGCTAGCAAGACGAATGCCAGGTGCAGGGCAACTAAATATAAGAACTATTTGAAATGTTAAAACTTACTTATGAAAGAAAAATCATCCGAAAAATAGATATAGGCAGCGAAAAGGACGGGGCCCGCCCCGGTGATAATCGGCACCAACACCTGGATAAGGGCGTTGCGCATCAGGAGGGTTTGTAGTTTGTGGGTTTGCGCGCTTATTAGCGAGCGTTGCGAGGAGAGGATACGATATCCCGAGGTGCCGATAACTAAATGATATACAAGCTTTTGCGAAAAAACGTACAAACAGCCGTCGCAACCACAAAGGCCACCCAGACGAGAACGGTGGCAAAGACAAGGTTTGCATACTGAGGCATTAACGCCAGGAAGCCTTCGGTGCCAATGATGGTTTGCAACGCTGGATATAACTAAGAGTCAAAGTATACAAGTAAGTATACAAGGTGCCCAAAAAAGCCGACCCCCTTGCGGGCCGTAGTTACGTCCGATTTTGACGATTTGGGTATCTATCGAAAGCTCTCGAAAAGGCGAGTAAACAAGCGCCTCTCTTTTTGCAATCTGGGCGATTTAATTGCCGAATTATGGCGTCAAAATCCATGACAACCGCCGATTTTATGCAAAACCCTCATGGTAATTGCTTGCGCGGCACGACACTGTTTTTGCACTTTCTAAGAGATCGAGCGCGGGCTAGCAAATTTTGTTAAACGAAATGCGCCTGTTTTCTCGCCTTTTCGAGGGCTTTCAAATCGTGTAAAAATCATCACGATACGATCTTTCTCCAGGCCGCTAGAAGGATGTCGTTTTTTGGACGCCCTGTAGAATGCAACAACTTACAGTCCCGTAGTATTGCTTGTTCTCGGTCATGTCAGTGTTGCTCCAAGAATATGTGTACAAGGGAATGAACTGGACATACGGCGTCATTTGAAGCACCGTAAAGACGATTATTGTGTTCCTGAAAACGTTATTGCGCGCACTTACTGGCGGGCTTACCAAAAACCAAGCTTTAGCGAATGGTTCTGCGGAAGGATCGCAAAATATCTGTGTAAGAACATTGCCACAATCAAGGCAACGACATGAAGAAATAGACAAAAGGCCGCCGTCTAAATGCACGATAATTTGCGTGACATGAGACTTCTCTCACAAGTTGTGTGATCGTCGTTACACCAACTTTCCCCAACCAGCCCGTTGTGATGCCGCCAAATATTGGCAAAAAGAGCACGGGACCAATCCCGGCTCCAATTATGAAATCGGTCGTCGTTGATAGCATCTGTAAACCTGGGACTGGATTCGATTGTTCAAGTAGCACAAAGGGCTGTGAATCCGTTGTTTTACTGTAAGCTATACCTGATATCCGGTCATTATCCAACCCAGAGTCCGCATCGAGCTCGGCGTGCAGAAAGCTATCGCGTACAAACCGAAGAGATTAACGAGCAGCCCGAAGACTAAAATTTCTTAATCTCTTAGTAAAACAAGATAAGTCAAGGAAAATTATAATTCAGATAGATCCCGCTAAACTCACGTGAAAAATGGGTCATGAAAACGAAAATCCATCGCTCAGCCTCGAAGGAATATTCGAAGTTCACCGGCACGATGACCATATGGCTAGCTTGAAATTGCGCGCTTTCCGCCTTGAGGCAACACGGTAACCAGTCCCAGGGTTTTTCAGCTGCCAAACGTTATGGAAACGGCTGTTTTCAGCATTGATCCGGACCTCTGCAGGTGCTTGTTATGCGGTGATGTACGAAAAATCCGTTCCGTCCGAACCGAGTTGCCCCTGACCTAATGCCACGGTCATATGCTTGATACTTAAGAACCTTTAAGAAAGCAAGACAATTTGTATTTTGTTGACTAGTGAACAGTGTTAAGTTCATTTCTTTGGGATGTACTCAAGCTTCCGGATCCGACGGCCGGTCGAGTGGTCGTCAGAGAGAATCGGCGGAATTTCCCTTTTTCCCGCACGGTGACGACAGTAGAGTGCGAGATTCCCACTTTCCGTTTTTCGAATAACCCTAAAAAAGAATTGCGGGTTATGGCTTAAAACTTAGATGGCGCCAGGAAAGCCATCAAACCCCATGCCGTCTGCTTCACAAGTAATTTATAGTGCTTGTACAGGCATAGAATCCCGATAGTAGCGACCTTGATTGCAGAATCATATCGTGGCCAAGTGAAGCAGCACTAAAAGTTGGGTTTGGTGTTAACTACGGCTGTGGTGTTGTTCCCGTTCGGACCTTTGCACCACCTACGGTGTTGTTCCCATTTGGACCTAATTTCCAGCTGGGACATCGTGTCAAAGTGTTGGGCAGCTGTTTTCATTAACCTTTTTTAGTTTTGATTGAAGTTCCGCTCATTTGTAGCGAAAAGTAGTGTGTGGTTTTGGGACCCGGTCCGCGTGACAAATTTGAAGGTGCTCAACTTCCGCTTTGAGTCTGTCTGCCTGTCTGTCACTTTCTCACTCGATCTCTCGCGCGCTCTCTCTCTCTCTCTCTCTCGCTCGCTTTCTCGCTTCTTGCGGGTTTGAAAATACATCATACCTCGGATCGCAAAAAACTGAATCCACCTGACTCCAAACAAAAGTGGGCCGGGGCTTAAAGCGCACGTTCAGGGAGGGGCCGTGTACTCGTCCCAACGTGTACACCCTATGGACGCAGCGACCGCGCGCACTGCCTGCTCGTGCCGTGGCAGGCAATTCTCCTCCTTTGCGGCGTGGGGCGCCCGTCACCCCCTCCACAACCGCTCATTGGTTCGGTTCAGATGGTTCAAGGGAAAGGGCGTACTGTACGTGTTTTTCGCGCGTTGCGTGCGGGTGCCCCGAATAGCACCCGATTTTTGGTTGCGCAGGCCTGCTTTCGCAATTGCGCGACACGTCTATCGCACGCGTTGCGGTCTTCCCTCCTTTCCAAAGCTACCGGACGTTTTTTTAGGAGCCGGGCCGCTGCGCCTCGCCAGGTTGTAGCTGTGGCTGACTGGTATGCATCCGCGCCTCCCGAGCGGGGGGCCCGGGTTCGACCCCCGGCCGCGGCAAAAATTTTTGCTTTTTTCCAAAAAAAACTTCCCTGAACGTGCCCTTTAAATACAGAACTGCACTATACTCCGTCAACAGTCGAATGTATCAGCAAATTATTGATTTATTCCCTTAACCCTCATTTTCCTTTGCTTGGGCACTGCGACTCGATAATTTCCTCCCTAGTACATCCGGGGCCGCAACACTTCTTGATTAGCCGCTCGTTGGGCGACACCAGGCTAGCCCTGCCACAAATCTAAGATTCAAACTTGTACGGAGCGGCGGTCGACTGTACCTGATTTATCCAATCCGTCAGCATTTTGCCGCATTTTCTGTCGGCCTCGACGGCACCGAAGCATAGAATGACTAGCAGGGCAAGCACGGCGAGTCTCATCGTTGTCTGAAAAACGCAACGTTTTTTGACTAACCCATCAGTCCTTCTAAAATAATTACTTCTAAACTGATTACTTCTAAAATCATTACTTCTCCCTCTAAGGTTTTTAGCGTCGAATTGCGAATCAATGGGACCAAATCTGTCGAAAAACTGATAATCCGACGCACGATTTTAAAAATAGCGGTTTTTTCGAAGCAATGATTTTTAGAAGTAATGACTTTTAGAAATAATAATTCTGAAAGTAATGATGAAAATTTATTGTTCTCGGGTGCATTTAAATCGGCTAAAAAAATTTGGCAACACATTAGAAACAAAAAAAAAGCCGGGAAGCCAAAGTTGGTATCAATCCAACGGGCCTCGGCTTTTTATAGAAGTCTCCTCCTGAGAAACCGGCCATCGCCACGAGGTTTTGTGAGCCGAATTTGCATAATGTAAGCTTGAAAAACAGCCGCAATGAGGTAGAATGCAGGCCCGGCTACAGTGTAACCTACATTGCTTTGCCGGCTCAAACATCAATGCGATGTTTTCGAAGGATATTTTATGTAAAATAAGGCGGTTATGGCGCTCCTTGTTCGATGATCACTTTGTTGTAAAAGAATTGTAAAATCAAGCTCGCTCTCCCGTTCTCTATTCTTCTTTTTCTCTCTCTCTCTATTGCTCTCTCTCTCTCTCTCTCTCTCTCTCTCTCTCTCTCCCTCTCTCTCTGTTTCAATAGCTGGCTGTGACCTTCACAAAATTTTTCCAAATCTCATAAAAACATTTATTCGAACTGGAAAACCTCCGATTCAAGTCCAAAAACTCAATAAAACTCTTTCGATGTGCTTCTGGTAGCCGGAGTTGCTCTCACAAGTGAAAATCTTCTGAATCTCTGCTGTTCTTGCACGGTGACTATGACGGCGTTAGACATTACGATGAGACGCTTGTCGAAAAACCCTAAAAGTTTGGTATAGCCTGGACATTATCCTTGTCTAGTGGACAATATCCGAGAGCAGTATGGCGATTTTTACGGGCTAGAAGGACGAAATGCAAGTTCATGTTTCGACACTGGTACTAAGCACTTACACGGCAACAATAATGACAAGCAGTCCCATGTCAGCTGCTTAACAAAGTTCTTATAATGCGTGTAGAGGCTCAGGATTGCCAGCGTGGCGAAGAAGCCGTGATTCGCGATTAATGTGGTCACCAGATGAAGGCCGACTGGAATTGGGTTTTTCAAAAGGGTACCATCCATTAAGCCGAAAAAATCCACGATTCCCCCGGAATTCGATAGTGGAATTCTGTCCGTGTTATGCTATTTTTTTATCTTTTTTTAATGACGAAAATTAATGTGCAAATTCAATAAGGTAAAAATCACTAGGTCGAAGTTTCACAATGTCGAATTTGCATGCTGTCGAAATTCAGAATGTCCAATTTCCTAATGCTGAGAATCAGGATGTCAATTTTTTTTCATGGGATTCGCGGGGTTTTTCAGGAAAAATCAGGAAAAAGGATTTAGGAAAAATTAGCTTATGTAAATTTTGACATTCTGAACTTCGACACTATGAATTTCGGCATTATGCGATTTCGGCATTATGAAAATTACAGTTTGAATTCCGAAATTTGGAATTTCGACATCATGAAATTGCTAAGTTTAAAAGAAACCCGATTTTTAGTTCGAATTGCCTAAAAATGTCGTAGAACCGTCAATTCAACTTACTGATAAACGACAGATCATCCGAGTAGAAGATGTAGGTGGCGAATAGGACCGGAAACGCCGCCGAAGCAATTGAAACAGTCACTTGTAACGCCGCGTTGCGCACTAATAGACGTTGTAATTTGTAGGTTTGCGCACTAATTATTGGGCGTTGCGCGCCGAGTACCTGCTGGGCTGACGTCGCGATACCTGGCCGGAAATTTTGGAATATCATGGAAAAGACCTACACACGGCGCAACCAAGCAAGAAGGCCACCCAAAATATGATATTACAAAAGGCAAAATTTGCATAACTAGGCATGAAGGCCACAAAGGTATCAATGTCGATTATTGAGCCAAGTGATGGGTACAACTAAAAAAATATTGTCTCTTTCACATGGAGTTACGTTTTTAAAAAATTCCGATTTGCCGCCATATCAGTTTTGCTCCAGCAATACCCAAAGACAAAGCCGAATTGGGCGTATGGTAGGATTTGGAGTGTGACAAACAGCAAGTTGGCTGCCCTTAAAAGTGTTACGATTATTGTGTATGTTGCAGGAAAATAACGTCCTTTCTATTAAATATATACACAGGATTTACTAACGTTATACCAAAATTTGATTATGCAGAAATCCATTACGCCGAAAATCCATTATGCAGAAAACCATTACGTAGAAACCCATTATAACGAAATTTTTCAATACACAGAAGTGTCAATACGCAGAAATCCGTTACGCAGAAAACCGTTATACAGAAAAAGCATAACGCAGAAATTCATTACATAGAAAATTCATTACGCAGAAGACCATGGCACCGAAATTTCCGTACACGGAAAAATTCTCTGGCGAAATTTTCAGAGTTGATGACATGGCATGTAACGCAACAAAATTCAATGATTCATGTAATCAATGAAAGTTAGCGAACGGGGCTGGGAGAAAGTATTCAAAATTTCTTTCAAGAAATCGAGAGAGGAGGATGAGAATCGGGGATCTCGCACAACTTTCTAACTGCTAAGACCATTTGACTAGGTAACTGAAAGTTTCTATGTAACGCCTTTCTGCGTAATGGATTTTCTGCGTAGTGGTTTTCTGCGTATTGGGGTTTCGGTATAGTGGGATTTCGGTGTAATGTAGTTCTACGTAATGGATTTCGATGTAATGAACTTGCGCTATAACGAGTTTCTACATAACGGATTTTCTGCTTATTGTCTTTCTGCGTAATGGGTTTCTGCGTATTGAAATTTCGGGATAATGTTAACGTCCTGTCTATTAAATATATACACAGCAGTTACTGATTCGGTTGATTTTTATGGATTAACCTACCAGAATCTTAGCTTGAGCGGATGATTTTGTGGTAATATCATGAAATAGCGATGCAGAAACATCACCAAAATCAGGTTGAGCGTGTGCACGAAGATGGCAAAGGCGAGCGTCTAAAGCCCACATAGGTCGTTGGGGTTTTTCGATTTTAAGGGCCAGAAGCGCCGTGGATTAGGCATATTTCGATAGACACGACACAAAATCAAAATGGCCAAAAACATTTGTCTGAAGAAATCGCCTCTTCTAGGGATCCGGGAAAGCCCTGATTTTGAAACCGTTTTCAAAACCCACAGATTTTGAAACCGCGAGAAATTTGAAAATTTTGATTTTTAAAATTTTGTACTGGTCGGTATTGTTTTATTATTTTTATTTATTGTTTTAAAACAGATAGCAAAGATACGCATCTCACATGAATCCACCTTTTGCGCCGCTTTGGACATAAACCCCAAAATAAATACCGAACTGTGAAAACTTGAAGTTTTTCTCGCCTTTTCGAGAGCTTTCGATAGGCAACTAAAGCATGAAAATTGGACATTTGTTTGGTCCTCTACAGGGGTATGCTTTTTCCGGCGCGCTGTATCGAGACTATCGAGACCTAGTCTGCGCAGAGGTCGGTTCTCGCCTTGTTCCTCGCTTTAAAAGGATAGCGTCAGCTTAAAAGGCCGTCCGCGAGTCACTAGAACAGCTTGGCACAGTTTTCTTGGGCCCCTTATTTTTGATGCCATTTGATAGAGCATGATCGAATTAGAAGGATCGCACTAATTTGGGATTTTTAAATTAGCATTTTTCTGGCTAAACAAGGCGTTAAAGTTGGCAGCGTCGGAAATTTATCTCGACGACCGCTTGACAGAATTGGCTGAAACTGTGTGACTAGGCTTAATTCGGGGATGAGGATCACCTTTCTAATACATCGCGAAGTACGAAAATGAGCAGAAATTTTCCATTTTAGTCAGATTTTTAGTTCATTTTTCAGCTACAAAAAGCTCTTTCTGAAAAAACGGCGACCTGGCCGCCACCGAAACGATACATCAATCGATGCAAAATAATTTTGCGCATCTTTCTAGCCTAATTCCAGCTTGCGGCCGACTCGCAGTTAATTTTAAATTCCACAAAAACTATTTTAGGTATGCAATTTAACTAGGTTCTGCTCATTTTCGTAATTCACGATGTATTAGAAAAGTGATCCTCATCCCAAATTAGGCCTAGTCACAAAGTTTCAGCCAATTCTGTCAAGCGGTCGTCGAGATAAATTTCCGACGATAACAACTTTAACGCCTCGTTTGACCAGGAAGATGCTATAAAAACCCCGATTTAGTGCGATTCCTCTAATTCGATTATGCTCTATCAAATGACATCAAAAAATAGGGGTCCAAAAAAACCGTGCCAAGCCTCGTTCGGGTCTCTCGCAACGATCCTCCGCGAACCCACAATCTGGATGATAGTCGGAACGCCGACCCTCCACAACCATCCCATAGGCATCCCGCCGAACATTGGAAGGTATAGGGCCGGAGCCATGGCCGAACCCAACAAGAAATCGGTGATGGTTGCTACTACCTGAATTGGTTGGAGCTGTAGTATAACTTTATTAAATTAAAAATATACGTAGATACCTCACGAATATGGGCCACACCTTACTTTACCCCCCCGGTTGTAAAAATCCCGACAAAACCAGCGAAAACACCGAAAAGGGTGGACCGTTCGGCTGTCGGGGTGGGGTAAAGTTAAGTCTTAAACGAATATGTAATAAACGCACCTGATATGCAGTCATCAGCCTGCCTAGCGCCCTCATCGGGACTGGAGTGTCAAATACGATTGCGTACAATCCGAACAAGTTGACGAGCAGCCCGATTACTAAACTAGGGACTGGATCTAGTCCATTTTTCCAAGTTAGTTCTTCCCAACGATTTTTTACTTCTGTTTTTCTTAGCGTTAAATTTTTAGTTATTTAGCAACCTTTTTAATAGCTGGTTTGAAGTGCGGTAGAATTACGAAATAAGCCTTAGTTAATTTGCTAATTGTAAATTGAACGGTTTCTGACATAAAAACAATGCCAGCCGATTAGCTCATTCGGATTTTTCAAGCAGTACTGTAGTAAGCTGCAGTACTCTCGGAAACGTACTCGCAAAACCCCGCATAAAATCGAAAATCCACCGCTCGTCCTCCACGGAATATTGAGCAAGAGCCTCGGTAGCCATTTAGATTATCTGAGCGTTCCCTAAAACTCTACTGCTTGCAGAATCGATGGTGAAGCTTTTCGAAAACCGCTTTTCCAGCTGTCATTGACATTAAGAAACGGGAGAGCCATTTTTATTATTGATCCTGAAGTCGGGCAGCTGCATTCCATGCTACTTCTGTTGTTGAATACCGTCTGTTATTTTTCGTCTGGAGCAGAAGGTTCAAACTAAAGGCGCTGGAAAATCAAAAATAAAATTGGAATCGTTTAACCAAAATTAACAAAATCAACAATTAATGAAACACGAGGTGGGTTGGAGCATTGTAAGATATAAAACAAGTCGAAACCAAAATGGAAGTCAGATTAAAGGGCTAAGGTGTCAGTGCGAATGGCTTAATTTCACCGTTGCTCTTGCTTTATGTTATTATCCGGTATACCTTAAATACAATTTTCGTACGATTCGGGTTTTAAATCCATTTATTCACCAAGTCCTACTGTAATAATTGAAATATTGGGCAGTCTCGTGCTCATAATCCGGAGATGTCACTTCGATCGGCGTCTCGACGCGCGCCTTGATGATGAAGATTCTCAAGATGTTGAGATAGCGCTTTCTCCACTCCTTGACGGAGTACATCGCCACACCGAGGAACATGATCCCAAAACTGTAAGTCCCAATTAAAAAATAAGCGTCGAGAGATAGATAGAGAGAGAGAGAGAGCGAGAGAGAGAAAGATAGCAAGGGAGACGACTCACACAGTAGCCCAATGCTCAAAAATAGCGCCGGCAATTAATGTCTCGAGCGTGGGCGTCTTCGAACCGAGTACCGAGATCATTACCAAGCCAGCGCCAAAAAAATCGGCAAATATAGAAAGTATCAGAAAATACCGAACCAACTAAAACTATTTTTATGGAACTGACATTGGGCCGGATACCTTAAACGACTTGATATTCTCAGAGGCTTGATACTTCGCGGATAAGCCATAATTAGAATTGCCAATTTCCAGGTTGGCAAGCGTGATCGAATTTTGACGTGCTACCCAGCGATAGGTCTAAAAATCAGGTTGGGTGTCGGATAGACGAAAGTGTTTTACCAATGCAAATCCGAAAATCCCGCCCAAGCAAAGGGGCACACCGACGTACATGAAGACGTCGCGGATCAGGAGCACGCCTTTGAGATTGGTTATGTTCGGTGCGCAAGGACGCGATTACTTACAAATTGCCATTATTAATGCGGCAATCGTCGAAACGACAAGTGCCACTCCAAGAATCGACGTTGAGATCCATGTCCTTGAGTTCCGCTCGTAGTCCCACATGAAGTGCATAGCGAACATTCTGGAACGGCGAATATTTCCCTTTCTGGCTCCCTTCCGCTCTCTATCTCTCTCTCTCTCTCTCTCTCTCTCTCTCTCTCTCTCTCTCTTTCTCTTCACTTACCTTTCTGCGATTATCATCGGAAAAATCCAAAACAAAAACGCCATTTGCTCCAACATCGCAAGACCAGCCCAGACAAGTGGGAGGTCAGCAATGACGTCCCCTAAAATCCGCTCAATAAGGCGTCACCTTAGTATGTTTTGTAGCAGTATCGTAGTGCTAAGCTTAGGCTTACTCCTTCTGGCTTACCTGTCCTTGTCACTACCTCGAACTCGTAGAGCATCATGATAAATCGCATCACCATTGTCAAAAACGTGTGCAGGACGGTGACGAAGATGATTCGACGGAGGTTAATGTGGAAAATCGGGCAAGTGCAGACGACGTAGAAAAAGGGGAGATAGGCAAGGCACGTGATGATTAGAAATAGGACCTCGATAACGGTAGTGACGCTCAGGATTTGAAGGAGAAGTGGGAATTTCTGAAACGGAGCCGTGTGAGAGAGAGAAAGAGAGAGAGAGCGAGAGAGAGGGAGAGAGAAAGAGAGAGCGAGAGAGAGAGAAAACTAAAGTGTCTGAAACCTACCTTCAACGCACCCAACTCGATGAGCAGCGTCGATAGGAATCTGATGTTCACCCCGCATATTTCCACCTCGTAGATTAAACCGGGTATCATTTAATGGAGAGGGAGAAGATCTTTGCTTTTAATGGCAAAATCGACCAAACGTTTTTCAGCATCGATTCTGAAACTAACCGAGTCGCCTTTGCCGCCGCATTTCACCTGGCCGTCGAGGTTGACCGCCGGGGGGCAATCTGTGTTCAGAATTCTTGATTACGAGTCTTTCATGGGGTTTCTTCGAAATTCAGGAGGTTGTAGTGAGCAGTTGGATTCGTGCAGTTTGCAAGGAAGAAAGTGTGCCTTTCGAACGCCGGAAAAACGCCTGGATTTGGCGTCTCCTTCTGATACTTTTAAGCCGTACACTATCCGCTTATTAAGTACGTTCATAGATGCGTAAGGTACTAACTTTTCTGAAGCGCGACAGGTGTATTTTGGAGACCAGGAAATTTTCTAGGTTACCAGCAAAACCATTCTTGTTTGTCGGTGTATTTCAGTCGATTCTGCACTCGTTAAACATGATAATAACAGCGCAATAAAACTATTTATTAATAGCTTTTGCACTCCGATTCCACTGTGATTCGAGCTGTTGGAAGTAGTCTTCTTGATTTGCGCCAGTGTAGAGAACCTTAAAAAACAGCCGATTTCAGTCTCTCTCTCTCTCTCTCTCTCTCTCTCTCTCTCTCTCTCTCTCTCTCTCGCTCTCTCTCTCTGTCTCTCTCTCTCTGTCTCTCTGAATCTCTCTTTTTCTCCTGGTCTCTCTCTATACCTGTTTCGAAAAATAGCCGCCTCACCTGTCCTCTTACATCCAATGCAAACACGGAAGGCGTAGTGTCCCGTACGTCCATATACCGATACCGTAGGCTACACGGCCTGACGGTTAGCGATTATAACACCAATCATTCTTTATCTTACCAAGTTTCCTTAATTTGTTGCTTGACCAGCTTTATCGATAGCGTTCGCACGTTTCGATTGGCAAAAATGTAGATGAACGTCATGGTGACGGAGTATCTGAAAACTGTTGGTGTCTGAACTGACGTTCTCAGCTTCTAATTGTCAATTTTCAGGATGAAACGATTTAATATGATGTTTCTAACACGAAGATGGAGATGTTTGAATGTACGCCCCAACTTACATCGCAACGTGTGCACTAATGGCGATGCCGACCCAATTCTGCATCTGCGGATCTTGGGCGCGTCGATTTAGCAGGAAGAGGGATCCAAATATTAGGTTGTTGACGCCCACGTAGCTGAGGACAAGGAGCAGGACCTGAAGAATCAGGTAGAGAGAGAGAGAGAGAGAGAGCGAGAGAGAGGGAGAGAGGGAGAGAAAGAGAGAAAGCCCTGGGATACTCACATCCATCGCCTTCAAATTTTCCGTCAATTGGTAGCGATGGCTTAAGGTATACCCCAAGAGATACAGTAACCGATTCTGCTTCTCATTTATATACGTGATCACGAGAGCTAACTGAAAAATTTAATCAATTAAAACACGTACAAAACTTTAAATTGTTCAAAGACTACGCACCACTCCGGTAATGACGGTCGCTATCAACCCGATCCACGCGCAGATGCCAGGGCTTAGAAAATCTGCAGGAATATGCATAAAAATGACCCTAAAAAATTACTGAATGTGTACAGGATGCTGATGAAGAGGGCGAATATGACCCCGACGAAACGGAGGGCCATGAAGAATTGGGGGTAGTAGCATGTTTCATATGTCGGTGCATTAACGGTAGCCACGATGCGTTCGATGAGGACGAAGAAGAATATGGCTGAAAATGTTAGCGTATCGTGCCGTGTCGTATCGTAGCGTATTCTAAGGTATCGCATCGTACAGTATCGTACTCTAGCATACCGTATCGTATCGTGTCATACTCTACCGTAACTTACATTATCGTATCGTCTAGTACCGTAACGTAACCCATCGTACCCAACCGTACCGCACCGTACGGTATCGTATCTTATCGTACCTTATCGTAAAGAGAGACAGAAAAAAAGAGAGATAGGGAGCGAGATAGCGAGAGAGAGGGGGAGAGAGAAAGACGGAGCGAAAAAGAGTCAGGTAGAGAAAGAGAGGGGTGAAAAAGAGAGAGCGAGAGAGCGAGAGAGAGAGAGCGAGAGAGAGAGAGAGAGAGATAGAGAGATAGACTTACTTGGTACCATCACTATCATCGTTCCAAACAATAGCGATCCTGCTAGCATAGGAATGGGAGGATCTGCAAACATTTTCGCGTATTATTTATTTGATAAAATACCTTCATAAATCTTCCCAAATTCGCCCACTTGCTCGTAATAGGCCAGTACAAATCGAGATATACCAAAGCCATAAATTGTTCGTAAGGCCATAGCATAGAAGTTGCTGAGATTTTCTTGGAGCAGCTGAAGAACTAGGGACTATGAATACGCTGACTACAGTTACTGTTTGAAATCTGGTATCGATCGATAGATAAAATAAAAAAATTGCTTAGAATTTCATCCTTATTCGGTGTTAAAGACTGCTAGAACTCTGGAACGCACACTGTCACGAACTATTTGGCAAAAATGAGCAGCGGATTCGGAATCAGCGAAAAATTCTGCACAAAATGGGCTGGGTCCCACAACCAACGCCACCTCGACCTCGGGTGGTTCCCTTGTGAGTCTCTTCCCCACTTGGCCCAGTGGATAGCGCGTCGGACGGTGGAGCGAACCATCGCAGGTTCGACCCCCGCCAGGTGCGCAACCTTCCTGCTCTCAACGGAATCTCATCGTTCTGACCGTCGTTCAAGTAACACTGAAAACTGACCGTTTTACTGATATGCACCGAGAAATGCGTGATGAAGAAGCTGAACAGGAAAAGAATAAATTCGACTATGTAGCAGATCCAGACGAGCGGCACCCGCCCGTGCTCCCTAATGGCAGAGATGTTGACGAATATTAAAATTTACGTCTCCATCTGTAGCCAAATCGAAATCTAAAAAGTTTATAGTAAAGCTGCACTGAAATAATTAAAAAATTTATTTATGTCCTGAAAACGAAAATTCTAAAGCTAAAAACGCAAATTCTATAGGGGAGGTAATTACCATCTACAGACAAATCTAGAGTTAAAAGTGTATAGGGTGTCCCAACCCCCCGCCTCTAGCGGCGCCCAGACGTGTCCGATTCTCGCCGTTAAGGTATCTATCGAAAGCTCTCGAAAAGGCGAGAAACAGGCAGGGTTCATTTTCTTTATTATATATTTTTATTGGCAAATTTTACCTCCAAAATCCATGAAAACGGCTGATTTACGCGAGATCCGCATGCTAATTGCGAAATTCCTATTGAAAAGATAACTATTTTTTAGAAAAACGCTGAATATCGGACGAATCAGAATAAATCTTAGAAAATGAAGCCCGCTTGTTTTCTCGCCTTTTCGCGGGCGTTCGAATGGTATAAAAATCATCCTGATCTGAGCTTCCCACGGACCGCTAGAGGGGGGGTTTGGGACACCCTGTATCCTATCATATAAGCGAGAAAAGTATGTTTGTTTTCTGTACAGCCGATTTCTCGGCCGTCACGCCGAACTTCCGGCTGATTTTTGGCATGGAGGTGGAGAAACACATTTGTCAGTGATGCATTTTTTTGTTTTGCGAAATACCTTCATTTAACAATTTTATAAGCAAAAAAGCAAAAAATCCTTAACAAAATGGGTTTTTGCCGCGTTGTCCGGAAGTTTTCTCAGCGCCAAGAGGGAATTAAGGCCTGATTTTTGGAAGGTAAATGGGAAAAGTAATTCCCCAGATACAGTTTGTTGGATTTTGCAAAATTTTTGAAAATAAAGTTTTTATAGGGATTTTTCTGGCAGGTCCTTAATAAATCGTGTCGCGGGCGGTGGTGTCCAGGCCATATCTCAATATATATATGGCGATTTTGGACCTTTATTTTTGAAGACCCATGCATTCAATGGCCAGGATCACGCGCATCTTATTATTTTCACAAAATTCGATCAGCTTCTACATCAAAAGTTGAATTTTGTAAAGTGGCCTGAAGGCATGCCTGTCGGAGGTGCTGGGACCCATTCCTTTTAGCACAGCCGTTTCTGCCCCCAGGATATGGGGGCCTTTACCGCTGCCGGTTCCGACCTCCCCTGTGGTGTAGTGGATCAAGGCCGGGGCTACGGCGTTGAGGGTCGGAGGTTCGGATCGGCGAGAAATTTTTCTTTTTTGCTTTTTGGTCGTTCAGCAACAAAACATATTTCTAGGCTTTCCGCGTGCGCGATTTAGGCCTGGCCTTCGCTCAGGCGCCGCAGGCCCAAGCAAAGGTTCTTGGCCCAGGCTCTCGCGCCGTAGGCCAAAGATGGGTCCTTTACCGAGGCTCTAGCGCCGCAGGCCAAAGAAAAGGTCCCTGAAACACGCTCCCGCGCCGCAGGCTAAATCCGGGAGAAAAAGCAGTAGCTAGCGCCGCAGGCTCAAGGATTCCAGCGCAACACTGGCTCTGGCGCCGCAGGCCAAGGGATGGTCTGACTCAGGTTCTTGCGCAGCAGGCTAAAAAGAAGCTACTCAAATTCATGGTTCCTGGAGGGGGCCCAGTGGAAAAGGGCCGCGAAGCGGTCTTTTTCCACTGGTGTTAGATATATCAAAAAATCATTCAAACGTAATTTGGAGGTTAAAAAAGCCCAAAACACGATAGTCTAGCCAATTCTGAGTCCGCGGACCGCGCCGCCGAAAGCTCAAAAATTATTTTTTGCGCAAAAGCAACAGGGTACAATTAGTTGGAGGCGGATAATTACTAGCGTTCGACCGTGCTTGAAATTGCGAGCAACGTGGGAAAACAGGCGGCATAGCAAAAGTTGTATAGGGTGATGTACATGTGGTTCTGGAGGGAGCGGGAAGCTATGAGTCAGAACTTTGAGAGCTACCGAGCTCCTTTGGCTTAGCTCGTGACACGCGACGCAAACGCTACTCGGAGAGAAGTTATTCTTTACGAACTCATTACGAAATGGATTCATATTTTGTTATGAAATTTTCTAGAGAAGTGAGGGCCGCGACACGCGACGCACCAGGTGCAGCGACGGTATTACGAAGGTTTTATCCATTACCAATGGCAGACAGAAGGCGTGCGTTTCGCGTCGCGGGCGGCAATATTTCCACTAGAATCCTACTATATATAAAAAAATAGTGTCTGTGTGTGTGTGCATTTCCATGCAACTTCCGTGAGGTTGTCTCCCGCCTACAGCCTCAGGGGAAGGTTTATTGGGTACGTACGATACGTCATTCGGTGCGTACTGGAGCCGAGATGCGTGCACACACATCAAAGTTTTGAAAATTACTTTCTTCACTATTAAAATTGAGTTTTTTGTAAATATACCGAAAAATCTCTTTGTTAGGAGGCAATTTATATGCCCGGAAGTGGGGAATGCCTATATAAGGGGGCAGAGGGGGATTTTTCTCATTTTTTTGCGATAGGTTCAGGACGAAATAAGCACATTTTTGACCATGATATGCGTTAGACGGGGCCAGGGTTGAAAAGCCGCGAAGCGGTTTTTCAACCCTGGTTCATAGTTAACAAATGTAAAAATATTTATGGTATTCGAGGGTTGGTGGACCCTGGTTTGTTAAGAGGAACCTCAGCAGCCGTGACGGTTTCCCGGTTCAAATTACCGAAAGAACAAATTGTAGGATTCAGGTACATACCGTGAAATAAATTTTGTCGAAGAAAACGTGAAAAAGCCACTTTCCATGAATGATTGCGTGAAGCTAATTGGGCTAACGAGTCTCAAAAAAACAGCAAAGATCGCCCTCATTAACGGACTATTGACAGGTGTTTTATGCAGGATTTTTTGCTTGATTAAGGATGGGAGTTCACAGCCTGGACTTCTGGTCACTAAAAAAATTACGGGTATTGGCGTAGCTTAGCGCAAGCCTAAGCTAAACCTAAGCTGAGCTTAAGCTAAGCCTAAGCCAGGCCTAAGCTAAGTCTAAGCTAAGTCTAAGCTAAGCCTAAGCTAAGCCTAGGCTAAGCCTAAGCTAAGGCTAAGCTAAGCCTAATCTAAGCCTAAGCCAAGCTTGAGTTAAGCTAAAGCTAAGCCTACACCCAAGCAAAAGTTCAATCAAGCCGACAGGAAACCCAAAAATATATAAAAATCTTGGAGAAATGAAATGATAGGGCTCTTACCCTAGCGTCAAATTCTTTTAAGTTCATCGGAACATCGCAGACGCATTTTTCTGAACCGAGAAACGTTCCGAATTCCGAGAATCCAGCCTCAGGCGCGGGGGCATAATTTGTAGGCGTCTCGCCTACAAATGAGCCTCAGCACCCAGCCTTTAGGCTAAAATTGAGGACCCGACCGCTACGCGGTGTCAATGGGGTGTTGCGCGGAATGCCAATTAAAAAATTGGGCCTAAAATGTTTCCGTCTCACCGGGCCGCCTGTCTATGGTGCGTCAGGTTGAATAGGGGGGAATTGAGGAGTGCTCATAAATAACCAGTGGAAAAAGACCGCTTCGCGGCCCTTTTCCACTGGGCCCCCTCCAGGAACCATGAATTTGAGTAGCTTCTTTTTTAGCCTGCTGCGCAAGAACCTGAGTCAGACCATCCCTTGGCCTGCGGCGCCAGAGCCAGTGTTGCGCTGGAATCCTTGAGCCTGCGGCGCTAGCTACTGCTTTTTCTCCCGGATTTAGCCTGCGGCGCGGGAGCGTGTTTCAGGGACCTTTTCTTTGGCCTGCGGCGCTAGAGCCTCGGTAAAGGACCCATCTTTGGCCTACGGCGCGAGAGCCTGGGCCAAGAACCTTTGCTTGGGCCTGCGGCGCCTGAGCGAAGGCCAGGCCTAAATCGCGCACGCGGAAAGCCTAGAAATATGTTTTGTTGCTGAACGACCAAAAAGCAAAAAGATAAATTTCTCGCCGATCCGAACCTCCGACCCTCAACGCCGTAGCCCCGGCCTTGATCCACTACACCACAGGGGAGGTCGGAACCGGCAGCGGTAAAGGCCCCCATATCCTAGGGGCAGAAACGGCTGTGCTAAAAGGAATGGGTCCCAGCACCTCCGACAGGCATGCCTTCAGGCCACTTTACAAAATTCAACTTTTGATGTAGAAGCTGATCGAATTTTGTGAAAATAATAAGATGCGCGTGATCCTGGCCATTGAATGCATGGGTCTTCAAAAATAAAGGTCCAAAATCGCCATATATATTGAGATATGGCCTGGACACCACCGCCCGCGACACGATTTATTAAGGACCTGCCAGAAAAATCCCTATAAAAACTTTATTTTCAAAAATTTTGCAAAATCCAACAAACTGTATCTGGGGAATTACTTTTCCCATTTACCTTCCAAAAATCAGGCCTTAATTCCCTCTTGGCGCTGAGAAAACTTCCGGACAACGCGGCAA